CGGCATCGACACCGCGTGGATCATCCACGCGGACCAGACGCCGCTCTGGCTGGAGATGCCCGCGACCACCACCGTGGACCAAACCGGCGTTCGGTCGGTGCCGATCAGAAGTGCGGGGTACCAGAAGGAGAGAGTTACCGTGATGCTCGCGTGCACGGCGGACGGGGTGAAGCTCAAGCCCTGGGTGTTTTTCAAGCGGAAGACCGTGCCGAAGGGCGATTTCCCGGCGGGTAAGTCATGGTTTATATTACTGTGTCGTGTTCTGTATCTTCTCTTTAATCGACTGACATCTTGTTCATCTACGCCTGTGCAGATGTGGTCGTGGCGTGCCACGAGAACGGGTGGATGGACGCGGAGGGCGTCATCCGATGGCTTGAGGAGTGTGTCAAGCCTTTCTTGAAGCCCCGGTTCGGCAGGTGTGCGAAGAGCTCCATGCTGGTGCTGGACAGCTACCGTGGTCACCTCACCGAGGGGGTGAAGGAGAAGTTCCGCGAGCTCAACTGCGTGCCGGCGGTCATCCCGTCTGGGTGCACGGCGGAGGTGCAGCCCCTCGATGTCTCTATCAACAAAAGCTTCAAAGCTTCAATCCGCCAGCAGTATCAAAAGTGGTTTCAAGAAGAGGGGCAGGAGCAGCTGACAGCAGCAGGTACGTTGTAAGCTACGGTAGATGCATATGCTTGTTTATCCACTCCTCCTCCCCTTTGCAACGCTAACTCTGTCCGTGGTGTTATTGTCCGTGCAGGGAATCTCAAGAAGCCCCCCCCAGCAGTGGTCCTGCGATGGGTCTCTCGGGCATGGAAGGCCGTGCCCGCCGGCCTCATCAAGCGCGCCTTCCTCACTTGTGGCATTAGCAACGCGCTTGACGGCAGCGAGGACGGCCTCGCGATGGCACACAGGCGGACCCAGCTGACCGCGGAAGTGGATGTCGACGACGACATCATCGCTGATGGCTTCTTTGGCAACAACTGCCAGGAGCCTAAGTCTGACGAGGAGGAGTAGGAACGGTAGTTGGTTCATTGGTGGGAAGGCTTGTATTAAGGTCTGTTCATTGAGTTAGAAGTATCGTAGATGGATGTAATTGTTGGTGCTAGACTTATAATGAAAATTTTTGTGATGTTAGTAGTTAGTTTCTTAAATTGAAAAAAAGAAATGTATTAAAGTAGGCGCTTATAATAAGTACGGGTACAAAATGGTATGCGCTTATAATCGAGGAACGGCCATAAGCGCCATGCTCCAGATAGAGGCGCCGGCGCCTTTAATCGGACGGCGCCTATATCCGGGGCCATACGGTATGTATCTCAACTGCTGCTAGTGAAAACCCCCCCTTTCCTGTTTCTGATTCTTGCCTAGTGTTTCGAAAGACGGGAACTGAGGGGCTACCGAGGGTGGGGGAGCGGGGGGGGGGGGGGGGGGGGGGGGTGTGACACACCTGACAGGGCTGGACCATGGGGGGGAGGCTGTACCGGAGGAGCAACCTGGAGACCTTGACAGGGGTATCGCAGGCAAGCGCAAGGCAGCCACAGACACGAAACGCCGACGCAACACCAAGAGACATAGCCCAAAGGCTGGTCAGTGAGACCTCCGTGCGAAAGACACGTGGCCACATGTTCAGTTGGTTGGCGGCGTAGCGAACCATGTGAGAAAAAAAGTCCAGGGGCACTTAGGGGCAGGGCCTCAGATTGGTTTTTGTGTACCCTGAGCACTCAGTGTCCCTAGGAGGGTAACACTGATTTTCAGTATCGTCTAGTGTGAAACACTGAATTTACAGGGTTGTTAGAAATAAAACGCTGATCAATCAGGGTTTCTACAACTTCAACACTGATCAGCATAGTTGCTTTACTGGTATGCTGTCATAACACAGCGAATCAGACTGCCCTCACTTTACAATTCCCAAATTCGGCCAGGATTCTGCTATTTCCGTGTCTGATTGGTCAGAAATCTTGTCTGACCAATCGAATAGGACAATTGTTAAGAATTGTTTCTGATCTCTGGTTGTGTACTTGACTGATGATTCGGACTTGGTTCGTCACAGCAGATTCGCCCTGACGGCAAATTCGACCTCGCACAGTCGTTACGCGCTGTCGCAGCACAGCAAATTCGCCCAATCACAGCAGATTTGCCCTGACACAGCAGCAGATTCGCCCCTCACACAAGAGATTCGCCCTGTCAGAGCATGTTTCGCCAGAAATCCCCTTGGTGCACGGTGCACAGTGACGGCGCGCCAAAACAAGGAGTTTTCGGTTTCAGGGTGTCAGAATATTATGCTCTAGCCTGTAGTGGGGTGCTCTATAGCGAGTACAACCCTTCTAGGGTTTGCTATTTGTATCCTCATTCTTGCTAGTGCAACTCCTCCTTCTTTGCCTAAACTGTTTCTTGCCTAGCTAGGGCTTTCCTAGCTATGGCGCCTTCTTCTACTGCTTATCTTCACATGGTATTAGAGCGATATGCTCCTGGCCTGTGGGCCCCACCTCACTGCTTCCGCTGCTACTGCTACTCCCTGTCCGCCGCGCGCCCCGTGGTGCGCGGCGTCGAAATTAGGGTTTTTCAGCCCGCCGTGCGCCCCGAGGCGCGCGGCGGTTTTCTGCCCGCCGTGCGCCCCGAGGCGCGCGACGGGTTTCTGCCCCGTCACTCGGCGCGTCGCCCCCAGGAGGCGCTACGACGGGCGACGGGGACCCGCGCGTCGCCCCCCGTCGCCCGTCGTGGCCTGCGCGCGGCCCGTACAGCCGGCGCGCGGCCCGTACGGGCTGCGCCAGGCCTGCGCGCGGCCCGTACGGGCTGCGCCAGGCCCGCGCGCGGCCCGTACGGGCTGCGCCAGGCCCGCGCGCGGCCCGTACGGGCTGCGCCAGGCCCGCGCGCGGCCCGTACGGACTGCGCCAGGCCCGCGCGCGGCTCGGGCCGCCTGCGCGCGGTTCGGGAGGCTGTGCCAGGCCCGTGGGCGGCCCGTTCTTCGCTGCCCCTGTCCTCCCCGCTGTCCCCCGTGCTTCTGAAGGCGCCCCACCCCTCCTTCTGCCTGTTCTCCTGGATTAGGGTTTGGGGGTGGGGGGTATGGGGGTGCAGCTTCTGTGTGCCGTTCCCTGCTCCTCCTCCTCCTCCGTCTCCCTGTGCTGCAGCTGCCGCTGAAGGGGGGTGGACCTGTTGGAGCCGTCGGAGTGGTACTAAGGGGGGGTGAAGAGGGAGTGGAGCTAGGGGTGAAGCAGGGGGTGTGTGTCAGGGGGGGTGGTACTGTTTGGGGGAGGTTGAACGGAGGTTGCCGTCGTGTCGCCAGCAGCACCTGTAGTCCGGGGAGTTGCTCCGGTAGCCCAGTCGTAGCCACCTGTGCCAGTCGCCCGTGGGTCCGTTGCTCGTCTGCCGCTACTTTTAGCCGCGGGGCCAGTTACTCCAGTAGTCCGGAGCGCTGTTCCGGTAGCCGCTGTGTCAGTGTGCCTCCTGTTGCCCGTGTGTCTGCAGCTTCAGCCGTCGCCTCCTATCTCCTCTCCTCTCACTGTCCCTCCTCCTCCTCACTTGCCCGTTGTGACTACCACTAGCTTTGCTCATTATTGTGAACTTTAAACTATTGCTTCCTGAACTTGTGCTCAGAATGTGTGGTGACATTGTGATCCACCCTGAGCTTGTTCTGCTTTGCTTGCTCTGCTGATTACACCCCACTTTGGCTATGGGGGTGTGTCAGAATATTATGCTCTAGCCTGTAGTGGGGTGCTCTATAGCGAGTACAACCCTTCTAGGGTTTGCTATTTGTATCCTCATTCTTGCTAGTGCAACTCCTCCTTCTTTGCCTAAACTGTTTCTTGCCTAGCTAGGGCTTTCCTAGCTATGGCGCCTTCTTCTACTGCTTATCTTCACACAGGGTAGACCCCGATACAACACTGACTCGTCAGTGTCCTCAAACACAAAACACTGGAAAATCAGAGTTCGAAATTTAAAAACACTGAAACATCAGGGTCGTTGAAAAAAAAAGGCTGATGCATCAGGGTCATGATAAAAAACGGGGGTCAAACTTCAGGAATTCAGGGTAAAATTCCTGACATCTGAGGCCCTGCTTAAGGGCATGAAACGCCCTAAGGAGCTATCTGCTCTGAAATCATGTGAGAAATGAAACTGTAGGAAATGGACTATGAAACAAGAGTGATAGAAGCACTAACCCTGGTTGTACCCCATATTGGCTTCCCTCTATTGCCGAAACATTAACAATTGTATATAATTTGACACGGGCAAATGCAGAACCTTGGCAAAAAATTGGCTAGGCAGAATCTATGGTTTTTTTCCTCCAAGTATTTCATTCAGAAAAGCAGCAACACCATCACTATAAACCTACTCAGGCGTACACACAAAACAAAGCCAACACATCAACCTTGGCAGCAGCTCAAACTAGTAGCAAGTACGATCTTGCAGGTTCATGCCAGAGCCTGATGCCAGCTAGTTAGTGTAGCGGATAGTCGTAAGCTTCCCATTGACCGTCCCTTTCACATAGACGCCATCAACCCGAACCCTCACATAGAAGGCCGCGGGATTGGTAAACACCCCCGCGTCAATCAACATCTTGAGTGGATCAACAGGCTGCCAGGTCGAGGTGAGCGTAGTGGAAGTGGAGTTGGTGCAGCTCCACGTGCCCTTTGCGGTGTCTGCGGTGGCAGCGCACGGAATTGACTTTACGAGAGCGTTCGTGTCGCTTGTGTAGAAACCGGGAGTGCTGACACTTGGTGTCTTGCCCACGGCTATGCCCGCAACGCTGAAGGAGAAGGTAAGCGTTTGGGAAACAGGCGTTCTGCAGAGGAGAGAGCAAGGAGGGGGGTTGGGTATCGCGGTAGGAAGGAGACAGGCAGATTATGTGAGCGCGCAATGGGGAAAGCAGTGCTAGCATGGAAAGAATCGGCTTTGCGGCTACTAGTATAGCTTTAGCTGACCTTTCACTGGTGTAGAGCCTCGACTACACATTCAATGTGTTCAATGCGCTGAATGGATCCCACGACAGTAAAATCATCAGCACATGGCATGGCGCTTACACGTCAGCACGCAGGGAAGACGAGCCAGTCAGGACACCAGTGCTCGAGGAAACCGTTGACCACGCTTCGTCTGTGCGACAAGAGGGAGGATGGGCACAGGACGGGAAAAAGGAACGGAGCACCAGCGGAGAAGACGCATGAGGAAGCATGAGAGGTGCTGGGTGCATAAGAAGGTGCTGGCCCGTGCATGAGAAGGTGGTGCGAGCACGAGATCCAGTGACCATATCGTGCTTAGAACCGTTGGAGCAATCTTGCAGATGACAGTGCGTGAGGCTTGCAACAAGACAAGGCGGCGTCCAACATAGGGAGTCGCACAGCACGGCAGGGAGTCGCACAGCACGATAGGGAGTCGCACAGCACGACAGGGAGTCGCACAGCACGATAGGGAGTCGCACAGCACGACAGGGAGTCGCACGGCACGATAGGGAGTCGCACAGCACGACAGGGAGTCGCACGGCACGATAGGGAGTCGCACAGCACGATAGGGAGTCGCACAGCACGACAAGGAGTCGCACAGCACGATAGGGAGTCGCACAGCACGACAGGGAGTCGCACAGCACGACAGGGAGTCGCACAGCACGATAGGGAGTCGCACAGCACGACAGGGAGTCGCGCAGCACGATACGGAGTCGCACAGCACGATAGGGAGTCGCACAGCACGAAAGGGAGTCGCACAGCACGACAGGGAGTCGCACAGCACGATATGGAGTCATACAGCGTTTGATGGCGGTGGTGATGACGGTTCCAAACTGGAGCAGATGGCGGCCGGCGATGGTGCTGCAGGCGAGCGAGAGCAGCACTGCACGCGGGATAACGAGAAAAGGGATTCTGAGATTATTTCTCAGCGGGCAGACTCAGAAGCTTCGAACAACAACACGGATCGACGAAAAGAAAAGTCAGAGGGCGGGCGAGCAACGGCTCGGCAACCACGGATCAGAGTAACGGCGGCGAGAGTATCTGGCAGACACTCACCAGCGAGGACGAGCGCGGGTCGCAGTGACGTGTGGGCCATGGCTGCTTCGCGAGGAACGATAGTAGTGGTAGGTGGGATTGTCGGATGATTCAAATGCTCGAACAATGAAGAGATGAGATGACCTGCTGAAGGCTGGCTGTTTTATAGTCAGCTGAGGCTGTTTCTCGATAGCACCATCGTCCAGCCAGGGGCTGGAAAACATCGTCGCTACCCGCGCTGATTCGGCGTGGTACAGCGTGGCACGCGCCGCGTGCTACTCGCGCTACTCGGCGTGGCACGCGCTACTCGGCGTAGCACGCGCTACTTTGGGCGGGCACACGCTGGCACACGCTAGTACTAATCAGGTTGCCCGCCCAGATGATTGCGACCTTCCGAGTCCCAGGTCTCAGGTCTGGTTCTTTGCCATGCGACTCCAGATCCCAAATCGCCCATGCGATCTTCTGCAGAAAGGGAAGAAAAGGTAAGGGTTCACTTTGCTGATGAAGCCCACACACACTTTGCTGCCGCATGTCACGCCGCCAGGAAAACCTAGCACCTTGCTCAACCGTTCAAGAACCAGACGAAATCGTTTTACTGAATGCCACATCAGGAGTCCTGCGACGCGCGACACGAGAAGTTTCTAAAGCCAACTGGTGTCTGCCAGGTTCGTTCAGGGTACCGCCGCACCTCCCGCGAAATCATTTGAGAGTTACAGGTTGCGACAGGACAGAGCTCGCCAGAGCTTCCCTTCGATAAAACACGATTCGTGGTTTGAAGCTAAAGTAGGCCTAAAATTAGAAATTCCGTATAAACAACACCAACAAGAAAGTCCAGATGGTCACAGCAAGGCCCATTCAGTGTACCCGTGACGCTCACCCTTCGTTAAGTATGCCAGTAAAAAACTGCAACGGGTTTCTGGGGATGTAAACTGTTTTAAAATGCTTATGGTTATGGCACTATCTGATACACATGGTAGCACCAAATATTTTACACTACATAGATGGCACCATAAGGTTGCCAGTCCAAATGAGGCACTCTTACTTTACACCAACCGATGCTAATCCGACCCCACGTGCATGACATAGAGCAGCAGAGTGGCCATCCACAGCATGCCCATGAGCCCGCCTGCTTGAGAGAAGTCCCACGCCGCGGTGTGCGAGAGCAGCCAGAGGAACATGCGGTGCGTCCTCATGATTGCGGGCGGCGGCGGGCGGGCGCAGCGCTTGCAGAGCGGGCAGAGGGGCTTCTTCATGAGCCACTCGTCGATGCACGCCGTGTGGAACCCTGCAACATGGACATGGGGTGGGGTGGGGGGGAGGGGGGAGGGGGAAGGGTGGGGAGTTTAGAGTCGACTCAAAAGTCAGAGGGGGCAGAGGGGCTTCTGCAAGAGCCACTCATCGATGTATGCCGAGACGAACTCTGCCATGCGGAACGGCGGGGGTGGTGTGAGCAAGTGTTCTGTGTGTGCGCGGACATGTCTGTGCGTGTGCGTGTGTATGTGTACGCGCGTGCGTGTGCATGAGCATTAGTGTGTGTATGTGCGTGCGCGTGCATGTGTGTGCGCGTGCATGTGCGTGTGCGTGCATGTGTGTGCGTGCGTGCGTGCGTACGGTGCGTGCGTGTGTGTGTGTGTGCATGCATTGTGTGTGTGCGCGCGCGCGCACATGTGCATTGGCATGCCAACCCGCCACTCACTGTGTTGGCACGGCAGTGCTCTCAGTTGGTCGCCCCTCTTAAAGCCATCGAAGCAGATGGTGCACGGGTCTTCCTCCCCGCTCTCTGTTCTCACAACCCTTCTCCCTGATGCTCCACTGCATTCCAATCCCCTGCTCGTATCCCCACTTCTATCCCCATGCGCATCCCCCTCCCCTTCCCTCTCCCCATCCACCTGCACCCGCCACTCCCCCCCTTCTCTGCTGCCCTGAACCAGCAGCTGTGACCTCTCCTCTCCCTCCTCTTCCTCCACTTCACACCGCCCTGCTGCCCCTCCTGCCGCCCCAGCCCTTGCCGCAACCCCTACAGGCACCACCGCTGCTGCAGCGGCCACTAACGGCTGCTGCTCTCCCCCCTCGCCTCCTTCCAACGCTGCTGCCGCTCCCTCCTCGCCACTCGTCCCACTGCCCTCGCCCTCCTCCCCCCCACGAACCACGCTCCCCGCTCCCCCCTCCGCCGCACATCTCCCCGCGGCTGCTCCCAGCGCGAGCCGTCTATCCCCGCCCTCGCTTGAGGACTCCACACGCGCACCTAGGAGGCTCCTCTTTATCTGCCCCTCTGCACAATCACCATCGGTAACTTCACTCAAACAATCCGCGTCGCTCTCCTCCTCGTCCTCCTCCTTCTGCTGCTGCTGTTCCTGCTGCCAATGCACTCCGCCGCCCCCCACTCCGCCGCACCCCTCCCCACCGTACACCACCTGCGGCAGTGCCGCCAGCTCCTCCGCCGTCATCGGCCCCAGAAACACCATCCCTTCCTCCGCTCCCTCCCCATCCGCCCCCTCCCCATTTCCCCCGTCCCCTCCCCCTTCCCCCCCCGCGGCCCGGGGAACCCCGCCGCACAGCAGCGCGAGCCACGGGCGGACGAATGCGCGCAGGAAGGGCGGGATGAAGTAGCTGAGGTGGCCGGCGCGGCGGGGGCGGCAGGTGTTGCGGAGCAGCGCGAGCACGTCGAAGACGAGCGCGGGCGGGAGGAAGAGCGCCGTGAACAGCGCCACCTGCGCCGCCGTGTACACGACGAGCGCGTGGTTCAGCACCTCCGCGCACGCCTCCGAGTAGTCGCGCGCGGCGGTCGCCGCCAGGTGCGCGGAGCTGGCGAGCACCTGGCGGAGCGCGAGCGGAAGAAGCAACACGAGCGTGGCGCAGAGCGCGAAGAAACCAAACACGGCGTAGTGCGGAAAGTCGTCCATCTCGTCGCCGTCGCCGTCGCCGTCGCCCAGCCGGCTGCCGCTGCTGCTGCCGTCGCTGTTGCCGTCGCCGCTGCCGTCGCTGCCGTCGCTGTTGTCGCTCCACGGTTGAGTGCTGTCGCCGGAATCAATTGCGTCGAAGTTGAGTAATTCGGAATCAGGTGCTGCGGAAGCAGCGGCGTCCGTCGAGAAATCATCTGTGCCATCTCCCCCCTCGGTTTCAGGGGAAGCAGGATCGCGCTCACTGTAATCACCTTCGTCTTTATCACTGCGGCCTATGCGCAAGAACAAGCGATGCCGGCTGCTGGGTCGCGTGACAATAACGGGTTGCGTGACAATAACGGGTTGTGTAACGGATTGCGTAACAGCTACAGGCTCCGCGACCGTAGCGAGTTGCGTGGCCGCACCAATGCCGGCACCGGCAGGGAGGAGCCCGAAGCCCAATAGAAGCGACACGACGACGAAGAGACGAATCGGTGCGCGCGAGAAATGCGCAGCAGACACTCGTGTGGGACCCATGGCTGAGACGCAAGGATATCTCACGTCGCCTGGCTGAGCGGTTGTATCAATGGAACGTTGAACAGCTATAGCTCACGTTACCAATGCTCGCTAGCGCGCGATCAGGAAACATCTACAGCACGTACGGGAGCGTGGTTCATCTACGGCACATCTCGTGAATGCACACCACCAGAGCGAGGACGGACTATATATGAGCAACAAAAGAAGGCAAGGAATCAAGACGTCACGCACGCCCTGGTCCCTCCGCTAGCTTCAACGCTTTCCGCAACCTTCAACGGAGTACATTCCGATCCAAGTCAGAGCCTAAAGTAGAGTACGCTGTGCTGTCGCCTACGTTGAAACCTCCCAGTTTCTCATCTTCTGACCCGAAACCAAAGCTATGACCGAACGAAATGCTCCATGGACATGCTGGGTGGATGCATTTGCCTGAGGCTTCACGCCCTCTCACCCATGTTCCAAGTTCAGCAACGGTTATCAAAGGCTGAGCGACGCAGGCAAAGCGATCGAACGAAACCCTAGCTTCGTAGCGCATTCGTGTTCGTGAATCGTGCGGTGAGCAGCAGAGCACGAAACGAACGAACGAACCACCGAATTCAAGGCTGTGAGGGGAAGTCGACCATTTCTGGTGTTTGTATGGCGTAGCCCCCGGAAACCGTGCCGCAGGTCAGATACTGAAAAACGTTTGTGAGCCAATGACGGACAATTCTTGAAGCATTTGATTGGCTCCAGCCTCGTAGCCGTCGTGTTTCATCGCAGCAGAAATTCGACCTTGTTCGCTGAATGTGGTTTTCGGAGATCGCCATGCTCGTTCATGTCGTTATGACCATTGCCTCCTTCGCAGGGGCCGCATGCATCAGTTTCTGCACCAGGTGCATCTCGCAGAAAGGTTACCAGCCGGGTCAGAGTGTCACGCTCTTTATCGAAGCTGAACACGCCCTCACCCAACGCTCTCCGTCTGCGGCACAAAACCCCTTCCCCTTCCAACCAAGCGCCCTCTGTTTCTGGAAACCTCGCTGAACCCTAATTCGCCCTCAACACTTAGTAGCGGCCCTCTTATCCCCGCATACCGTTTTTCCCTCTCCACCGCGCCCTTGCGTGACCTTTCGCTGCGAATAGATATATTGTCAAGAAGTCGCGCTGCATCCACGTCGCTGCGTTCGTCGATTTTGATATTAGTTCGCGCGGCAGCAACCATCATGTTTCTTCAGGTGTACATTGACGACGAGGGCAAGAAAGTCTACACTCTCCAGGTAAGCCATTCTGCTAAGAAGTTACCGCGAAACTGTGATTTTACGGCTTCGCCGTCGAAGCAGCCATGGCTATGCTTTGTCAGGGACGGGTTTTCTCAATCGGCGTCGGATGACGGGGCATGATGGGGCATGACAGGGCGTGACGGGGCATGATGGGGCATGATGGGGCATGGTGGGGC